AGTTGGCATTTTCGCCCGGCACGCTCACGGCGCCCGCGTACTGGGTGCCGTGCCAGACTTCGTACCTCATCGGGAAGCAGCACGAGAGCGCCGGGTACCACCACGGGTTCGCGTCGAACGCGAGGAACACGGAGTCCTGGTCGGGCCCGTTACCGAAGTCGAAGAGGCGCTCCCACTCCCGCGCCAGGCCGGGCGGCTGCGTCCGCTGCACCGAGAGCGAGACCGTCAGGCCGGCGCCGCCCGCGTTGATGTGCTCGGCGGCGACCGCGTTCACGTCGCTCGCGTTCGTGCCATCGAAGGCGAGCGTGGCGCAGCCGGCGCCGGGATAGGCGGGCGGCGCTGCTTTGACTGGGACCGGTGGCAGCGAGGGCGGCGAGGGCGGCAGCGGCGGCGGCGCTGGGGGTAGGCAGCCCGCCGTGATGATGGGCGCCGTGTACATGCCGTCGATCGTTGGGAACTCGCGCTGCTCGCGGAGCGCGGTGAGCTGCGCCTCGGTGAGCGCCGCATTGAAGACGAAGAAGTCGCGCATCGTGCCCTCGAAGCGACCGCCGTTGGGTTCAGTCCCCCAGTGCGAACGGCCGATGTACAGGCCCGAGCGCTCGACGGCGAGCGGCAGCGGGACGTAGCCGCTCGCCTTCGCGACGCCGTCCCAGTAGATGGTGGCGGTGCCGTCGGGCTCGTGCACGAGCGCCACGTGCACCCACTCGTTGCGCGGAAAGCTCGCGCCACCGCTGTCCTCGCCGCTGCCCTCGCCCAGCGGCCAGTTCACGGCGCCCGCGTACTGGGTGCCGCGCCAGACGGCGTACCTCATTGGGAAGCAGCACGAGAGCGCCGGGTCCCAGAAAGGGTTCCCATCGAACGCGAGGAACACGGAGTCCTGTTCGGGCCCGTTGCCAAAGTCAAAGAGGCGCTCCCACTCCCGCGCCAGGCCGGGCGGCTGCGTCCGCTGCACCGAGACCGAGACCGTCAGGCCGGCGCCGCCCGCGTTGATGTGCTCGGCGGCGACCGCGTTCACGTCGCTCGCGCTCGTGCCATCGAAGGCGAGCGTGGCACAGCCGGCGCCGGGGGCAGCGGGGGGCGCCGCCTTGATGGGAGGTGCTGGTGGCGGTGGCGAGGAAGGTGGCAGCGGGGGCGGCAAGGGCGGCAGCGGCGGCAGTGGGCAGCCCGCCGTGATGATGGGCGCCGTGTACATGCCGTCGATCGTTGGGAACTCGCGCTGCTCGCGGAGCGCGGTGAGCTGCGCCTCGGTGAGCGCCGCATTGAAGACGAAGAAGTCGCGCATCGTGCCCTCGAAGCGACCGCCGTTGGGTTCAGTCCCCCAGTGCGAACGGCCGATGTACAGGCCCGAGCGCTCGACGGCGAGCGGCAGCGGGACGTAGCCGCTCGCCTTCGCGACGCCGTCCCAGTAGATGGTGGCGGTGCCGTCGGGCTCGTGCACGAGCGCCACGTGCACCCACTCGTTGCGCGGAAAGCTCGCGCCACCGCTGTCCTCGCCGCTGCCCTCGCCCAGCGGCCAGTTCACGGCGCCCTCGTACTGGGTGCCGCGCCAGACGGCGTACCTCATTGGGAAGCAGCACGAGAGCGCCGGGTCCCAGTACGGGTTCCCATCGAACGCGAGGAACACGGAGTCCTGTTCGGGCCCGTTGCCAAAGTCAAAGAGGCGCTCCCACTCCCGCGCCAGGCCGGGCGGCTGCGTCCGCTGCACCGAGACCGAGACCGTCAGGCCGGCGCCGCCCGCGTTGATGTGCTCGGCGGCGACCGCGTTCACGTCGCTCGCGCTCGTGCCATCGAAGGCGAGCGTGGCACAGCCGGCGCCGGGGGCAGCGGGGGGCGCCGCCTTGATGGGAGGTGCTGGTGGCGGTGGCGAGGGAGGTGGCAGCGAGGGCGGCGAGAGCGGCGCTGGGGGCAGGCAGCCCGCCGTGATGATGGGCGCCGTGTACATGCCATCGATCGTTGGGAACTCGCGCTGCTCGCGGAGCGCGGCTAGCTGCGCCTCGGTGAGCGCCGCATTGAAGACGAAGAAGTCGCGCATCGTGCCCTCGAAGCGACCGCCGTTGGGTTCAGTCCCCCAGTGCGAACGGCCGATGTACAGGCCCGAGCGCTCGACGGCGAGCGGCAGCGGGACGTAGCCGCTCGCCTTCGCGACGCCGTCCCAGTAGATGGTGGCGGTGCCGTCGGGCTTGTGCACGAGCGCCACGTGCACCCACTCGTTGCGCGGAAAGCTCGCGCCACCGCTGTCCTCGCCGTTGCCCTCGCCCAGCGGCACGTTCACGCCCCGGCCGCCCGCGTACTGGTAGGTGCCATGCTGGTAGACGTCGTACCTCATTGGGAAGCAGCACGAGAGCGCCGGGTCCCAGTACGGGTTCCCGTCGAACGCGAGGAACACGGAGTCCTGTTCGGGCCCGTTGCCAAAGTCAAAGAGGCGCTCCCACGCCCGCGCCAAGCCGGGCGGCTGCGTCCGCTGCACCGAGACCGAGACCGTCAGGCCGGCGCCGCCCGCGTTGATGTGCTCGGCGGCGACCGCGTTCACGTCGCTCGCGCTCGTGCCATCGAAGGCGAGCGTGGCACAGCCGGCGCCGGGGGCAGCGGGGGGCGCCGCCTTGATGGGAGGTGCTGGTGGCGGTGGCGAGGGAGGTGGCAGCGAGGGCGGCGAGAGCGGCGCTGGGGGCAGGCAGCCCGCCGTGATGATGGGCGCCGTGTACATGCCATCGATCGTTGGGAACTCGCGCTGCTCGCGGAGCGCGGTGAGCTGCGCCTCGGTGAGCGCCGCATTGAAGACGAAGAAGTCGCGCATCGTGCCCTCGAAGCGACCGCCGTTGGGTTCAGTCCCCCAGTGCGAACGGCCGATGTACAGGCCCGAGCGCTCGACGGCGAGCGGCAGCGGGACGTAGCCGCTCGCCTTCGCGACGCCGTCCCAGTAGATGGTGGCGGTGCCGTCGGGCTTGTGCACGAGCGCCACGTGCACCCACTCGTTGCGCGGAAAGCTCGCGCCACCGCTGTCCTCGCCGTTGCCCTCGCCCAGCGGCACGTTCACGCCCCGGCCGCCCGCGTACTGGTAGGTGCCATGCTGGTAGACGTCGTACCTCATTGGGAAGCAGCACGAGAGCGCCGGGTCCCAGTACGGGTTCCCGTCGAACGCGAGGAACACGGAGTCCTGTTCGGGCCCGTTGCCAAAGTCAAAGAGGCGCTCCCACGCCCGCGCCAAGCCGGGCGGCTGCGTCCGCTGCACCGAGACCGAGACCGTCAGGCCGGCACCGCCCGCGTTGATGTGCTCGGCGGCGACCGCGTTCACGTCGCTCGCGCTCGTGCCATCGAAGGCGAGCGTGGCACAGCCGGCGCCGGGGGCAGCGGGGGGCGCCGCCTTGATGGGAGGTGCTGGTGGCGGTGGCGAGGAAGGTGGCAGCGGGGGCGGCAAGGGCGGCAGCGGCGGCAGTGGGCAGCCCGCCGTGATGATGGGCGCCGTGTACATGCCGTCGATCGTTGGGAACTCGCGCTGCTCGCGGAGCGCGGTGAGCTGCGCCTCGGTGAGCGCCGCATTGAAGACGAAGAAGTCGCGCATCGTGCCCTCGAAGCGACCGCCGTTGGGTTCAGTCCCCCAGTGCGAACGGCCGATGTACAGGCCCGAGCGCTCGACGGCGAGCGGCAGCGGGACGTAGCCGCTCGCCTTCGCGACGCCGTCCCAGTAGATGGTGGCGGTGCCGTCGGGCTCGTGCACGAGCGCCACGTGCACCCACTCGTTGCGCGGAAAGCTCGCGCCACCGCTGTCCTCGCCGCTGCCCTCGCCCAGCGGCCAGTTCACGGCGCCCTCGTACTGGGTGCCGCGCCAGACGGCGTACCTCATTGGGAAGCAGCACGAGAGCGCCGGGTCCCAGTACGGGTTCCCATCGAACGCGAGGAACACGGAGTCCTGTTCGGGCCCGTTGCCAAAGTCAAAGAGGCGCTCCCACTCCCGCGCCAGGCCGGGCGGCTGCGTCCGCTGCACCGAGACCGAGACCGTCAGGCCGGCGCCGCCCGCGTGATGT